ATAAGAAAAAGCCCCAAATAACAGGACTGTCCCTATAAAATCGGGACATCTGGTCACCCTACACTCTCTCCACGTTTTCCTGAATGCGGGACAGTTTCTGAGTTTCTGCTGGCTGCCAAGTCAATGACATCGCTATTTGTCTGACATTTTCTTTCCTTTGCCTCTTTATTTTCTGTAAACTTTTTTCCTTACTTGTTTAACTGCCGTGTATTCAGTCGTAATTGGTGACTCTATTTGCAAATTTGCATTTGTGTTTGTTCAGCTGCTGGCCATATGAATATTGCCTTTGCAAGTGTCAGAACTATGATCCTGAGTGTGTCTTTCACGTTCCTGTGTTATTGTTGCAGCCCAAAACTGGATCTTTAATGAGAGACACTCTTTTAATATTCTAAATTTCCAGATCTGTGCCAAGCAAATGTGCATATCCATAAGAGGGACAGACACAAATTTGTTGCAGTAAACCAGTAAGATTGCATTTCACTGTTGGTTCTGTACTAGTAATGTGAATAATCCCCACTCTGTGGTTCAGAGTTATCCTCATCCTCACACTCCAGTTCCCCTCTAGATAAATAATGCTGGTTATTTAAAACATTTCACATGGCAATTTATTATACTTTTCCTAGAACAAATTTGCACTGATCTGCTAAATGTGCTCTGACAAAGGAAGTGGCCATTCATAAATATATTACAGTGGTCAGTGGCTAAACAGTCTCCAGATCTGTCTGCCAAACCAGTCAGCCCATCAGAACTGTATTCCTTGGTACCTGCATTAGTTCAACCCATTTTCTGAGGCCAACTGGCTTTTTAACCATAAAGATCGAGGGCTTATATTTTGCTAAATGTGGGAAGAACAGACTCGTGCTCAGTAGCAATGGAAGGAATTTGTGTTTAGTCTCATACCACTGAATTTAGGTTTAAGACATTCAAAAAAAAATTTGGAAACTGAATGAGAGAAGAAATAGAAAAGGAGATGAGGAAGACGGGAAACTTTCCTGTTTGCTGTAAGTTACAATCTTCTTAAAATATAGATTCTCCACACAAGGCTCTATCAATATTTATCTGTTTCCATTAATTAATACAGTTGTAGATTGTTCTGTAAGTGTGTAAAGAGGTATTTGAGAGCTAAGCTTTATCCTTAATAGAGCAATGTCAATATAAAAGTGAGTTAAAAAAATCTTTACCTAGGTTACTAGTAATTAGTTACATTGTTAAAATTGGAAGAGTATTATAAATCTAACTTACTTTTCATTCTCTATTGCTTTGCACTTTCCTCTGACTTGAATGCATGAGTTTAACTGGTCAATTTTGCTTTCTGTTTATGTTCAGTCTCAGTTTCCGGTTCTTATGCAGCAGTATGAGGTTATTGTGTTTGGGTTGCAAATATTGCAGGGAAATGATACAGGTAACACAACACATTTTAATTACAAGTAAAACATCTGTTTGCAAACAAAAATCTTTACTAAAAAAAATTAAAAAGTTAAGGCAAAAATGTTTCATCGGTGTCCAGCTAACACCTAAAGTCAGAATTGCATGTTCTGTATAAAATTCTTTCTCTTGAAAAAACTCAGATGTTAGAATGTTTGAAAACGAATAGTGAAAAAGATCCAGCCTTCTGAGGGTTGAGGTGTAAGGGCCTAGAAAGAAGGGGAAAGACACTTAACATTACAAAGCCAGTTTCATGAATGTTATGGTTGCCCCAGTCCTTACATACAGCCTCTCTCCTTTTGTCAGTGCAAATTGTGAATCTCTGTCATTGCAACTCCAAGGGCCTGAAAAGTGCTGAATTTTACAGTGCAGATCCACCATGCTTTTTAAACAAAGTAGCAAGGGTTAAAAGGCATGCTGGGAACTGCTGCTGGTTTTACTGCTAGCCCTATGCAGTCTTTGAGAAGCCAACACAATCCAGGGCTCTGGGGTATCTCCTTTTAAAGGGACAGCACTGTAAATAGAGGCTCTCCTTTTTAGAGATGTCTACTCCCCCACCTTGATGCATTCACAGTCCAGAACTGGTGACCTTACATGTCACTGCCATAGAGAAGCAGTTGTCATGTCACAGTCACCAGACTGAATGAGCTGGAGGAGAGAGTCTGATTAGATAAGAGCAAGAGCTTCTGTTTAGATGCCCAGCTATCTGGATAATCAACAGCGAGAGTAAAGGAAATAACCCTGGTAAAAGCCGCACAACCTCTAAATGGGATTTGGATGCAATGTGGCATTCTGAAAAAATTCCTGTGCATCTTTTTAAACTCTATTCCGGTGTTGCCTTGAAGATAACCTGGATTAAAGCAATGGAAAACCACACAGGTCATAGGCTACCCTAAATCCTGTCCTTTTTTTATGAAAACAGACCTTTAAACTTCCTCCCCTTTTTTCATGTGTTGCAAACCCTGATAATCTTGTCTTGGGACAGCCTGTTTAGAAATCTGAAATGTCCAAGTTCAGATGGAGAATGCAAGATACCCTTTGGCTGCATCTGCTGGCAGGAATTTCCTCCAGCTTTAGCTTCTTGTAGAAAGGAGCAAGGGGAAAATGTCCTCACTTTTCAATGTTACAGGCGCACACTTGTTTGTTTGTTTGTTTATCGTTTAGGATGACAGTGTCTGCTTTGCGGGAAACATCCCACGCGAGATACTTTGGCTCCTCTAAAGAAAATACGGACTGTGGACACAAGTGAATGGGCGGCCAGATTACTTCATTCGTTTTACTGTTGCTTTTCAGGGAGACACACGATATAATCTAGTAGTGGGAACAAGAGGCTAAGAGCCAGGACATTGTGGGTTGTATTGATGGCTCCCCCATTGACTAGCTGTGCTACCTAGGGCAAATCATTTGCAGACTTTTATTCCCATATGTGCCTGGGTAAATCTCCACCATAGCTCTTAGTGACTCAGTTTTCCCATCTGTAAAATGTGGATAAAGGTTCTCCTCTACCTCACAAGGGTGTTGCAAGACATAATGATTGTGTGTAATGTGTCTTTAGAGCTTTGGATGACATGTGCCATAGAGGGGCAAAGCATGTCTCTTCGGACAGAGCGGATAATGACTCCCTCTTTTTTCACTAGAAAGTAAACAGCTGAGCAGTAACAGGGGTCATGTCAGGAAGGAGCAGAAGCCCACACGCCACGTTCTTCTATAACTTGACACTCTTCTGTTCCTCCCCTGGCCCTCACAGGAACCTGCTAATGGGCAGCGAATGTTGCTGGGCAAGCATGCCAGCATATGAAGGCCAAAAATAGGTGCATTTGGTGAGAAAATGCTATTGAAATCCATAGAAGTGGGAGGGCATTTTGTAGGGCACAGGGTGAAACCAGTCAGGGCTTTGCTGAAAAGTAAAGCCTGAATAGGGAGAGTTGGCAGCTGAGTGTTGGATTTTATATTTGTTAGTTTTCTTTTCTAATTTTGTCTCTTGCTGCTCAGTTTCAGCAACTCCTGTTACATTTCAAAAAACTTTCTACCTGAACGAGAGCAGGCAGAACTCAGAAATGGGACTCCTTTGAAACTGAGGGCTCCAAGTTGGTGGAACAGTGTGGGTACAACCAAAATTTCTTTTGTCATAAACTTATGGAAAAAAGTTTTCCTGAGATCTCTTCCTTGCTTGGCTTCTATCCGAAGAGACATTTTTACTTCTGAGGTTGGGAGAAGCCGACCCTTCAGATCTTTGGTCTAGAAGGGACGGCTAAACTAACATAGCAACAAGCTGGAATCCTTCAAAGGGGACCAAAGCAATTAGACATTCAGTGGGGCTTGACCACCTAACTCTCTTGAAAATCCAACCCAGCGTGTTGGGGGAAGGTCAGAGACGTGTCAGGTTTTGTACTGTCTTGGATAGCGATATAACATCTCTCCTGTTTTGTTGGGAAGGCACACAGAGCTCTTACCTATAAAAGGGGGAAGACTTTCTAGTAAGTCATGAGACACAAAGACTATCTGAGACTAGGTGGCGTAGTCTGCCAGGTCAATGGTGAAATACAGACCCAGCTGGCAGAGATCAGACACACTGGGCGCAACAATATGTAAGATTTCTAGGGTGTTGTAAAGCCAACTTTGTTAGTGAAGCCTGGGGTTAGCTATCTGTCTGGGGTACTTACATGGCCTCCATTACCGCAGTATCTAACTGCCTCGATCTTTAAAGTATTTATCCTCCCAACCCCTCCGTGAGGTAGGGAAGTGCTATTAACCCCATTTGAGAGATGGGGGGGGGGCCTGTAGCGCAGAGAGGGCAAGTGACTTGCCAAGGTTGCCTGGCATGTCTGTGACAAAGCAGGAACTTGCACCCAGCCTCCCAAGGCCAAGGCTAGGGCCTTAACCACTGGCCCATCCTTCCTCCTGCAGCAACACTTTCTGCAGCATGTGTCTGGCTGGTTTTTCTTTTACGTTCCTTTTGATTTCATACTTTTTCTCTCTATTTCTGTAACCTGCCAATAAAACCTATTTGTATTTAAGACCAAAAGAATTGCTAGGCTCGGAGACTCGTTTGGGACAGTCACAGGCAGGTGCCAGAGAGCAAGTGGGAGCAGCTGACTCTAACCAGGAAGGAAAGACAAATGGGAGAGGAGGGGGAATAGTGGTGTGAGAACAGGGTCAAGGGCACACAAGAGATTGCTAACTCTGTCTAGCTCCCCGCAGCATAGCTCCAGGGAAAGGACTAGCATGGGAACGGGAATTATGTGAAAGACACTTGGTGGTGATCATCCAGGGGTCTATGGAAGTTGTGTTGGGTGCCCAGCAGGGCTTGGAGATGTATTGATCAGCATGAGAGTGCTCTGTGGGCTTGGGTAATGCGAACATGTTTGGACTGTTGTTGTTTGGGATTGTCCCATTGCAGGAAATTGCTCTCTTCGTCAGTAACGATCACGGAAATACTCAGTGCCACAAATTACATCATTGGAAAGCCCTTGTTCAGGAAGCTGTTGTGGCAAGTTTGTTGCTGTCCTGGTGCAGATGAATGTAGGAGAAGGTGAGGGGCTTGAGCATGCTGACTTGTGTGTTTGTGTTTGCAGGAGACAACAGAGGCCTCCTGGAGGAAACAAATCGCAGCAGCAGCACACGGATCATCAGCAAGGTACTGCCAAACACAACAGGGAACACCAGAAACTCTACCAGGGAGGCCAAACCCCTCACTCCTCAGGGAGGCCAGCTCACCATGGCTACAGCCAAACCCGGCGATGGCACCACAACCAGAAGCACTCGCCCAACGACAAGGAAACGCACAGAAATGCCAAAGAGACTGAGAATTTGAAAATCGAGGACGCCTCCGTCTGCACAGTGCATATCCCCCTGGAGATGCACCGGAGCACAGAGGTCGTGGAGAGACAGTCTCAGCAGTACATTCAGGAACCAGAAACCAAGCGGAGAGACAGTGTTCATGAGCGCATTGGGGAAAGGCCAAAGGTCAATTTGCTCCAATCTTCCAAAGACAGACTGCGAAGGAGACTAAAAGAAAAGGTACTATTCCCGTGGGGAGTTGATTTTCCCTTTATTAAAAGCTCAAATGTTAATCATTTCACACACCTACATGGGGCCTTGTTCCTGAGCACAGCCAAATTTATCGTCTCATCTCCTAAAGTCAACATTTCTTCTGGTGGGTGGCTGGGTTTTGTGGTTCTTCGTCAGGCCTTTTACTGAGACGCTGCTGAGTCTCTCTGTCTAACTGAGCCTGACCTGTTGTTTGGTGTTCATGTTAAGACCGAGTTTTCAAAGGAGGAATTGTGAACTCCCCCCTGCAGAAAACACCGCATGAAGATGAGGGTTTATGAGCCCAAATCAGGAGCATGTGCATTTCCCAGCCTTTTGCAAATGCCAGTTGAGTCTCTGGAGTGTTCTAAAATGTGGCTATGTGTCTCCTCCTGTATCTAGATACTGAGTGCAGAATTCAGACTTTGAACACTGGATACATAGATTTAGCCACTTAAACCTGATATCCATTTATCTAGATAGATTGATAATATATGAAAAGCACCCTTATCCTTCCCCCTTCTCTTGAACAACTCAACAATAACAAAACTTGTGTGTGCAAGTGATGGATGAGAAATCCTTTTTGGAAACAAAGTTTCAAATTTCTAAGGGTTTAATAACTTAATAGTTATGCTTTAAGCTTTAATAGTTTAATAGCTAATTTAATCCGTCCACATGTACCCTGAAGAATGCAGGATTTTTGTTGTGAGTGTATTTGTGCGTATTGCAAAAATCCACACAAATGATTTTTCAGCAAAAATATCCAAATGTGTAGTAAAAAATAAAATGCAGATATGCAGAGCACATCTAGTACATGAAATGAAACCACCAGGAACATAAACAGCTCTGTTGTGTGTTTGCGTGCACACTCATTTGAATATGTCTGTGTATCTGTATGTATGCAGTGTGAAGTAGACCATTTTAATTCTTAACATTCTCCTGTAAAATATAGATGATATGCAAACTGTTTTAAAATACTCACTTGCAAGTTTCTTTCCTGAGACCTAATGTAGAGTCTGATCTTGCAAATTCTCACTCACCTAAACAGTCCTTACTCGTGTGAGCAATTTCACTGACTTCTGTGGGACTATTTACATGAGAAGAGACGGTCTGAAGGATCAAACCCATAGTCATAGCTTCTAGGAGCGTGGGGTCATGTGAGAGCAATACTCCAGGTAAACACCAAGTTATGTGTATGCCCCATGTCCAGCACTGAGCTTACACAGCTGGCCTACTGACAGCTCCACCCATCAGGTTTCAAGGCCACACCTGGAATTTGCTAAAGGTTTCAGGGGACTTTCATAGAGTGTGACACAATGTTTTATCAGTGGAAAAAAGGGAAGAGAGGACATCAGCTCATAGCAAATGTGAGATGTCCACTGCATGTCTGTCCCTAGCAAAAAGTTTCACAGCGTAATTAAATGTTAAAAAGCTGCAATACTGTGAGTGGTAATGTTATTAATTTAAAGACACAAAAGCCAGGAGATGAAAAAGTTAGAGCTCTTGTAGTAACTGCAATTCGTTCACATTGTGCATATATTGCATGTGATAGTCTTGATTATCGCTGAGGTTGTTCAGTGTCTATCCTGATCTAGGTACTTCTGTGTCATTGTAGCCGTATAATCTGAACACCTCACAAATATTAGTGAATTTATTTTCATAAAAGCCCATAAGATAGGAAAGCAGCATTATTCCCATTTTACAGATGGGAAACAGAGACATGGCGCGATCAAGGGACTTGCCCAGGATCACACAGGAAGTATCTGGATGAATCAGGACTGGATTGAAGATCTGAGTCCCAGCCCAGTGCCTTAAGCCATCAGGCTAATGTTCTTCCCACTGACCAGAGTATGTGGGCTGTGAATTTGTAACGTGAGAGGGAGAATGGAGCAACGTCTACTGGGACCAGACTACTACCACTAGGAAAGAAGGGAAAGTGAGAAGAGTGGAAGAGAGAAAGGGAACGGCATAACATGGCTGACTCTTATGTAGCACTTGCCTCACAAAAGCAAAAGAAAAACCTACATTCCTGGCTACTTAAGCAGAGCTAGCTCCTTATAGCATTCTACTAGTCAGTGACTGAATAATCAAAGTTCCCTGTTGCCTGCAATATGTTGTAGAAATCTCAAGTGCTTTGCTTACTGCTAACCATTGTGAGCTGCTCAGAAAGTTATGGGAGGGCTTGACTAGAATATCCATAGCACTTTCCACCTTCCAGATACTTTATGAGCATTAAGTAATCCCCACAGCTTCCCTGTTGCAAAGCTAGGTCTCATGCTACGCAAATTGGGAAATAACTATGCTAATGTCTGCATATGCCCAGTGTGACCTTGCATAGGTGGTGAGTTATATGGGCCCGTGGTTCCACTGCTCCACCAATATTCAGGAATGTGGGCCCGGCTCCAACAATGTTTGGGCTTATATTTTCAGAGCCGTCCCATCCATAGGATGGACTGGGGCAACTGCCCCGGGCCCTGCGCTTTGGGGGGCCCCACACTTCAGGGGGCCACAGGGGCCAGGGTGGCCTGGAAAGGTAGCGGGGGGCCTGGTGCTGGCAGCAGCGAGCGACCCGGCCCCAGCCTGCCCCACTCTGCCCCTTTCTGCCCCTGTTCCACCTCACCCCACTCCACCCCTTCCCCGAAGCCCCCCCCCCACCTCTTCCTGCCCCTGCTCCACCCTGCCCTGTCCCCATTCCACCCCTTCCCCCAAACCCCTGCCCTGCCTCTTTCCGGCTTCCATCCCTTCCTCTGAGCGACGCCGGGAGCTGGCGGAGGAGGGCGGGCTGGAGCCGGGTCACTCGCTGCTGCTGGCACCAGGCCCTCTGCTACCCCTCCCAGGTCACCCTGGACCCCACAGCCCCCTGAAGTGCGGGGCCCTGGTCCGTCCTATGGTTGGGACACCTCTGCTTGGACCCATTCTGGGCACCACCAAAAATTATACAAACCTGGGGCCCATGTGACCTTGGTATTTCCAGGTGCCTGAGCAGAGTCATGCTGAGTCAGTGTGTTCACGGTATCAGTAGCTCTGGTTTTTCTCTGCAGGCAAACTTGGCTGATGGGCCCTTAGTAAATGTCACACCTCTGAGGTACAAAGGTATATCTATCACATGGGGACACTGAGGCACAGAGATGTCATATGACTTGCACAGGAGTCATAGATGGAGTCCCTGTCAGAGCAGGAATTAGGGCTCCCAGACCTCAGACCACTAGAGTGTGCCACTAGAACATGCCTCGTTGTAGATTTGATTGTATGACTCCCATCGCCCCCTACCCCCTGTTTTCTGTGAAAGAACAAGGGCTGATACGTCTGTTTTTTCCTTGTGTAACAGATGCCTTGTCTTTCCCTTTTCACGGGCCAGGACGAAGTGCCGGTGGAGGCGACCAACCCCCAAAAGAACAAAATGGACAAATTAATTGAAATCCTCAACAGCATGAGGAACAACAGCAGTGACGTGGATTCCAAGCTCACCACCTTCATGGAGGAGGCCCAGAACTCCACCAACTCCGAGGAGATGCTGGGTGAGATTGTCAAGACTATTTACCAGAAAGCAGTGACGGACCGCAGCTTCGCCTCCACAGCCGCCAAGCTCTGTGACAAAATGGCGCTCTTCATGGTGGAGGGGACCAAGTTCCGAAGCCTGCTTCTCAACATGCTGCAGGTAATTAGATATTTGCAGCTGCTCCCAGTGTGTTATTACTAGAAAGAAGTCCAGGAATTCTGACCATAGTTGAGCTTTTCCCAAGTTCCATTCTTGCCCAATTAATTATAGAAAAGAAAAGTGTAAGTGAAGAGAGGGCAGTGTTTTTTGTGTTTGTTTATGCAAGTGTTTCATGGTTACGACAGACCGATATAATTTTATAGGCACCATCCGGTTAATATCCATCTCTATCTCTCCTTCTATTTTAAAAGCTCAGTTTAACAAATGCTCATTCCCCAGGCACTGTCCCCACCTAGTTTTAACCCATAAAGCTCTAAAAGGTTTGGATCCATAGTATGTCAGAGACTACCTCTCTCCTTATGCGATTCTTCAGTGGTTGAGATTATTATTGTTTATTGTTCATATTACTGTAGCATCTACAATCTTGGACCAATATCAGAGCCCATATGCTGGGAATGTACATAGACAGTCCTTGACCTGAAGAGCTTGCAATCTAAATAGACAAAACAGTCCAAAGAGGAGAAAGGAAGGATCTTTATCCCTGTTTACAGACACGGAGATGGAGGCCCAGGGAGATGAAGGCCAAGATCCCCAAAGGGATTTAGGTACCTGAAGACCAGAATGTGCTGCTGCAGTCCACAAAACCCCCCACTCGGCTGCCACCTTGCCCTGTAGGTCCCTAAACTCACTCAGCACCAATGTTTTCACTGTAAAAGTTCCCGAGGCATCTAAGTTTCTACCTGGAGGCAAGTGCACTGCTGGCACAGGCAGGCATCTAGGTGGCCTATTTCACGCCTAAGCCCAGCATGATCGTAGAGGCAGGTGCTGATAAGCATTCCCGCACCTATCTCACCTGCGGGGCCTGAATCTGACAGGTGTGCTCAGGGGCCTCCTCCGAAGTTCCTTTGTGGATCCGGGCTGAAGCAACTTGCCCAAGGTCACACGGGAAAGTCTATGGCCCCGCACATCACATGTGGAGGAAGGGAGCTTCTGGGAAATGATGGCAGGGTCTCTCTCACTTCTCAGCTAAGGCGGAGCCAGGCTGATGGGAGGTACATGTGTCTCACCTAAACTGTCTGTCCTCTGTCTACTCCAAGCAAGTGTTTAGTAGCACAGGTATAGTCATGACTGATGTAGCTCTTCCCAGGGAAAGTGGAAGAGGTCACCTTGATTGAAACAAACAGGCATTGACAGCCATAGCATCACTCCGTGAGCTGAGAGGGTGCTGGATGGCAAGAAGGCCCTTAGGGAAAAGGACCAGGTGGATGAGGATTATATGGAAAGCCTCTTGCCACATTAAGGCATTGTCCATACCATGTAACAATGTTGTACCCCAGCCGGTGATGTTATTTTGTATGGGCACAGGCTCCCATTTTGTGTTCTGCAGAGAGGAGAATTTGACGCTTCGTTTATGTGCAGAAAATGTTTATGGTGGTGATGTGGGAGCGGCCCTCATTTTCATTTTTTTGCTGACGGTGCATGTTACACACATGTCCTGTCACTGAAATCACATCATTCTTTGCAATGTACTTTCCTTGCCATTCTGCTTTCCTTTGCTGCTGTGGCTGGAATTCATCGCTTCATTATACTTTGCGTTGCTTGTCTCCAGTCCTGTGGCTGGCTGTGTGCAGTGCCCTGGGTTGAGTCAGGCTTTTGGGCAAACAGCACGTGGCAGTTGTCTGACATTCCTTCTTGTCATGTATCTACCCTTAAGCCAGCTGGCAAAAATGCTGGCACTCTGATTTACATGTAGCAAGCCCCTGACTCCCTCTGCTTTGTGAGAGAAGATTTGGTGCAGCTACAAGCCAAGGAGGGAGAAGATCTTGCTAGAGTACTATTGTGCCGTCCTGCAACGGCCGCTGCCATTACTGTGACGTTGTCAGCTAAAATGACTCCATCCCCCCCAAAAGAATCTGAAATAGCATCCCCCCAAAAAGAATGTGAACATGCAGGCGTGAGCCAGTCTCCAGGAACCTGAGGGTATGTCTGCAGAGCAAAGAAAATCCCTTGGCTGCCCCATGTCAGCTGACTCGGGCTTGGGCTACCGGGCTGTTTCATTGCTGTGTAGACTTCCGGGCTTGAGCTGGAGCCCAAACTCTGGGATCCTCCCATCTCACAGGGTCCTAGAGCTCAGACTTCAACCCAAGCCCAGATGTCTACAAAGCAATGAAACAGCCACAGACCTGAACCCCGCGAGCCTGAGTCGGCTGGCACAGGCCAGCCGCAGGTGTCTGGTTGCTGGGTAGACATACCCTGAGAGCATTCCTTGCTCAGAAGGCTTTGCAAGTTAGCCTCACTAGCTGATCATTCGTGACACTAGCTGATCATTCACTAACCCTCTGAAAGGGTTTGTGCTTCTGTTTAAAGAAACAGACTCCAGTGAACACTGTCTTATCAACTGCTCCAGTGACCCACAAAAGTCAGTTGATTCCTCGTGGTGACTTTCTCATGAAGACGGGGCAATTATTCACTACGTCTGGGATACTTCATGCCAGTTTCTTAAGAAAGGAGATTGTCCAGTAAGGGTGACCTCTTTGTATGGGTTTTTATTGTGTTAATATCGAGTATGTACAATTCTTTTGAGCGTAACAATAATCAGGCATCACCTTCAAACCCCAGACCTTCCCTACTTTGGGAACGCTAATTAAACCCTGCAGTAAGTATTGTTCCCGTTTTTCAGATAGGGCACAGAGAAGTTAAATGACCTGCCCAAGGTTACTCTGACCAACTGGCAGAGCCAGGAATAAAACTGAGGAGTCCTAGCTCCCACTCTTGCTCTTTAACCATTAGAGGATTCTTCCTCTCAAGAAAAGTGACCATCTTCTCTTGATTGTCTGCTGTTAACTCTTCCTTCAGTGCTGTAGCCAGATGCTGAGCTGGTGTAAATGGGTGTAGATCATTGGCTTCAGTGGAACTTTTCTGACTGCCTGCTCCAGCATTTTTGAGTGGGGAAGTGTCCTGGAAGATTCCTCCATTTTTTCCATTTACTCCTTGTCCCTTTTTATGGAAAATAATGACTCTGTGGAGCTGAATCTTTTTCTTCATGATTTTGCTGAGTTGGGAGGTTTCCAGTGAGGTCAAAACTTCACACCCCCAAATGCTGTTTAGTCGAAAGGTCGGTAGAATTCTATCAAATGGCAGGAGATGAGGGGTCCAGGCTCCTGGGTTCTGATCTGCTGCCAGCTCATGGTCTGACCCTGGGCAAGGCACTGTATCTCACTGCACTCCAGTTTCCCAGCTGTGTTGACTTACTGGAGTGAAGTACTTTGAGGTCTATAAAATGGGGATGATAATACTGACTTACCTACCTGCTTGTTTTGTTATGATCCCCAATTAATGCGTGGGTAAAGCACTTTCACATTAGAAGAAGGTGCAATATTAACTACAAATTAAAAATTTATATTTAATAAATTGCCCATCCCCTTCAATGTGATGCATCTCCTCCGCTGTGTGTGTCCATTGTATTCTGTATTATGAATTGTCTGTTGTAGTAACATGGTAAACATGAAAGCTAACCTGTAGACCCTGCTGGGTGCAAGAAATCTCAGCTCTTGTTTCCTGCTCGTGCTAACAGATGGGGGAAATCTTGACTATAGTTAACAGGGAAATTCCATTACATAAAGTTTTATGTGATTTTGAGTTTTGCTCTCCAGTGGGTTTACAATGAAAAGAGGGCTTTGTTTTCACAATTCTGGGTCAATGAGAAGGCAGGCATGTATAATGAGAATCGTAGCTAAGGCTGGCTTGTTGATGCACAGATCTCAGAGCGAGGAGGAGTCTGAAAAAATAAGAGAGAGAGAGAGACTTACGTGTAATGTGTCACCTGTAACTTCTATAGCTAGATAAGCTAATGTTAAACTGCATCATTATTTATCACCTTGTATATGTACATGTTCCAGCAACGAAGTCTGTTATACAATGGCCAGATGCTTTTCCAGGAGTTTGTTTTGTAGCTCACTCCAATGCTGGATGATTGTAATAGCACTCTGTGCTTGCATGCTGTCAAGCATCATTTAAGGGTCTCAAGACACTTCCACAAATAAATAACTATTTAAACTATGTGAGGTATGTTGCCACATTTTACCATTCGTTTCTTTATTTCACACATGAAGGAACTGAGGCCTGGGTCATGCAGCAAGTCCGTGACAGGGCTTGTGGGATCTAGGCCTGCAGTAGATAGAGCCCAGCAGTCCTGAGACCCAGAACCTGCTTTAACCAAAAGTCCACACTCCCTCTTTGTATCGTTATGTACCTATCCCTGCTTTCAGCTACTGAATGAGGAAAATTCGAGTATTGCTTAGGTGAATTGTTGTGGCTCTGGAGGTTGTGTGGACAATATCAACAACTGGCATTTTACTAGAGGCAACTGATGGGCTTGTTTCATCTTTCCGTTACCTTCCTGCTGGTTAAATACACAAGCTGGGCACAGGTGTATGGGAATCCTTTGAATATTTGTATTTTTCCTTGGGTCATGTGATCTTTTTTAAACCTCTTGTGGTTTTGTCTCGGTTCTTGCTCTGGTTTCTGCCCTAGGGGGTGAAGATGATGCTAGATGACTGTGCTGCTATTTGTCCTTGCAGTGTGAGGTAGATGCCACCTTTTAGGGGCTGGCCATCAGGATCAGGAACCTGGGGAAGCAGTCCTAATGAGGCTGGAAGGAGCTGATTAATAGTAATGTTACAGTGGTGCTTAGAGACCATGCCAAGACCGGGGCCCAGCCTTGCCCCAAAGAACTTACAGTCTAAATATACAAGAGAGACATAGGGCAGGGGGAAAGGCAAAGCCATCATCTCCATTTTACCACTGGGGATCTGCAACCCTGAAGGCTGAAGTGAGTTGCCCTGAGGCATGCTGGGAGTCTCTGACAGAGTCTCAGCCTCAAGTCCCAGCCCAGTATCTTAACCACAAGCCCATGCTTCCTCTTGCAAGACTGACTCCCAAGAAGTCCTCCAGCAAAATCACCAAAGGCTGAACTTGGCATAGAGATTATCTCTAAGGGT